CCCACCTCCTCGCGAGCTCGCCGAAGGCCAGCCGAGACCACTCCTGGGAGCTGTCTGCGCGCGGCCCGGAGCCTTGGCAGGGAGAGGAAGGCTTTCCAAGATCTGTCCGTGCCTGGCCGCAGGGGTGTGGAGCTGCGTCTTCTTCGTGCTTTGCTGAAGATGCGCGGCAGACTCCCTGGGCTGCAGTTTGCACCGCCGCCTGATCCGCGGCCCCCGCGCGCGCCCGGGTAATTCGTTAATTCGTCACGGCCGCAGCCCGACCGTGACCTGCCGCCGCCGGCGCTTCCGCCTGCGGCTGTTAAAAAAAAAGAAAAAAAAACAAAAAACAAAAAAAAAAAAAAAAAAAAAAATGCGCGTCGCGCTTCCCAAGCCTCAGGTTCGACGGATGCCAACTCGTCGATTCGACCGTCGATCTATGAGTCGGTGTTCCGGCCAACGTAGAGGCGTACAGAAGATTGGATGCCCCGCGGTTGCGGCCAATAGTGAGGAGGCGCCTAGGCTGCCTTGCTGGGGCTCGCGCGCCGATGCAACAAAGGCTTCCACGGGCGCCGACGTTGTTCCAAACATGTCTCCACCACAGGCGCCGTAGTTTGTAGTGCCAAGCTAACTCGGTGGGTCGCGAGGCAGGTCGGGGCGTCGACGGGTTACGAAGCTAGAAGGCGGATGTAAAGAAGCCCACCGCCCGCGTTGATCCTTTGTTGCAAGCGGGATTTGGTGGCGGGTTTGGGTCACGGGTGTGGGTCAGTAGGCTCACGAGATGGGTCGCGGGGCGGCCGCGGGGTGGGTCGCGGGCGGGTCGCGGCTGGGTCGCGGGGCGGGGGCGACAAACAACAGCAGCGAGAACTTGCAGCGCGGAACCCCACTTCCCCCGCGCAGCCGGGGATTGTATAGAACCGTTCGCCCCCTTCACGCTGATGTTAGTCATGGCTGTTTGTTCCCCATATCCTGAGATGGGGTTCGTGTTATTATTCGGACGCCGCCGACTCCAGAGAACCAGAGAGAACACACCCACTCACACACAGACTTACTCATACTCAGACCTACTCATACTCATACCTTCTCATGGTCTGACTTACTCAACACACAAGATGCAGGCCTACTCATACTCAGATTTACTCGTGCTGGGACTCCTTCATACCCAGACTTACTCATACCCAGACTCGTTCCCAGACTTGTTCATGCACAGACTTATTCATATTCAGACCTACACATACTCAGACCTTCTCATAGTCTGAGTTACTGAACGCACGGACTGAGACATACCCATACTCAGACCTAGTCATACTCAGACTCGCAAGGGGAGCCGCCAGGGGTGTTTTCACGGGCCCGTTCGCGGCCAGTTTGTGGGGATGTCTCAGGCGGTTTGCTCGTTTTCATGCCCAACATCCTTGGCTTTCAGATCAGATGTTGAGGATGTCTCAGGCGGGGCGCTGGTTTCAGCACCCCTAAGGGGAGCCGTCAGGGGTGTTTTCACGGGCCCGTTCTCGGCCAGTTTGTCGAGATGCCTCAGGCGGTTTGCTCGTTGTCATGTCCAGTATCCTTGGTTTTCAGATCAGATGTTGAGGATGTCTCAGGCGAGGCGCTGGTTTCAGCACCCCTAAGGGGAGCCGCCAGGGGTGTTTTCACGGGCCCGTTCGCGGCCAGTTTGTGG